GTTCCACCCTGGCAAACCACACGGGCAGGTCCACAGGGAGCACCCGATCCACGTGGTAAATATTCAGAGATGAAATTTTACTTCCCATCTCCAACAGCGTGTGAAAGAAATAATGGGTTTCCAGTTCAGGCAGGAGTCAGCTGTGTGTGGTACTGCCCTCCACCTCTGTTTTACAGCCCTCCCCACTGGGATGCGAGGCATGCCCCGTGAGCTTTTAGCCATGTGAAGATGCTGGCACTGGGTTTATAAGGTAACGGAGCTGGTCCCCTTTTCCAGCATTTATCACCTCGGTATATACAAGGTAGTTACAGGAAATTCTCCAGAAGAACCCATAAACTGTTACCAATAGAAGTTTAATCCTGAGCTGCACATTTAATAAGAGGAGGGCAAGGTGTGGAAAAAAAAAATCTCCAACCGCTTCCAGCTGGAAGACAGACAAGGAAACCAACTCCTAGTTCAAGGAAAAAGTTATGAACCTCCCACCTTCAGAGATAAAAATAGGCTATTTCGCAACACACATCCATGAAGAGAAAGGATGGATGGGATGCGTCAACAACTGCCTGTCCTGAGGCAAACACATCACGTATTCTGTGTCCTCACACTTGATGTTCCTCCCCAAAGCAGACACCTATAGCGTATTTTTACTTGGCACGTCCTATATTTCTCATACCCACCCCACAGATGTGTTTTATCTTGTTCTCACGCATCAGCCTCTTCCCATCCTACTTCTACATCCTATTCCTACTTCCCATCCTACATCCCATTTCTGTTCAACTCAGTCCTCCTTGGCCTGCTTAGGGCTTGAGTCTATCCCAATGGGTTGGGTGATTTGCATCTCAGCTGCCCCTTCCACTTTTAGAGACAACTCTTAGTGCCTGGCTCATCCCTTTGGGACCTACGGGCTTTTTTTGTTGTTGTTTTATTTCAGGAAAGGGATAAATGTGCTGTGTACTCAACTTCAAAGCAATGGGGAAAAGCTTGATGGAACCGGGTTAAATGGTAGCAAAAGTCAACAGAGTGAATTCTCTGGAACTGGTTTTGTCTGGTAGGACAAGGGACCTTGAACCCCCTTCCGTCAGCTGCTCTCCCCCCCACAGCAGCCAGGGTCAGGCAATTCGGATTCAGCAGATGGTCCAGAGCAAACCCAGCTCCTGCAGCACTGTAATAGCACAGACTTGAGTGCATTTGCAGTTTACATCTGCAAAAAAAGAGCTAAGTGAGCATTTTATACGAAAGCTGATGATGGGAGACCCAAGTTTCTGCAGCCCCATATCCACTTCGCCCCCCCCCAAAAGCAGACAAGATCCTAATCCAGTTAAGTCCTCTTTGCCGCTCAGCACTCATAAATTCCCACTATATATTCACAAGTGCATGCAGCTATCCGCGTACCTGCATGCCTGCAGGCAAGGGACACAGCAGGGTTTTGAGACTTTTGAGTTTGCCATCGTCACTTAGCACTCTTCCCTCTTCTCCAAAGCATTCAGCAAGCACAAAAATGGTACTTTCCAGTCTGATTATACTTACCAGTATGACTTTGAGATGTGGTCTTTCCGCTCCTGACCTTAAAGTGGTCGGCAGAGCCAGATGTTTTACCTAAGATACAGGCTGTCAGCTAGCTTCCTCTCACGTTTGTGCACATCTGTCTTGAGAAATGCCCAAGAGAGACTTCATCATTCCCTGGTGCAGCATTTGATTTTACTGTGCAAAACAAACCCCCTGTATATTGTGCTCAACAACGTGATAATTAAAATTAAAAAAAAAAAATCAGGTCTACACAGGATGGCTGCAAGTGCTAGAAAGGCTTCTTCCTTGTTCCATGTAAAACAAGGATGGGGAAGAGGTTATTTCAAGAAGTTACAGGGCATGGAAAAATCCTCAAAGCACTTTGGGATCAGCTCAGTGCTGCTGCACTTGGGTTTCAGCCTAACACACTGGCAAGAACCATCACCTTAGAGCAGAACTGAGCACAAGAGGTACCCAAGTGAAACCACGAGAGGTGCACCAAGGCTGGCAGACTCACTCGGAGATCCAGGTGACTTCCCCAACCAGCACCAGACAGACAAGCGCGCGCAGGGGGGCTTCACAAGAGTTAAGAGCAATGGCAGAAGCCAGATGTTTCCTTGATTACCATACAGCCATTACAAAGTTCAACAAAAAGCTTAGGGAAATCGTGCGGCATCTCATATGGGTTGGCATCCGTAGGCTCTACCTGTCTTCTGCCATCTTCAAAAGGCTCATAATTCATTGGGAGCCACGTAAAACTGAAGAATTCCCCTTAAACCTTACAAATCCTGTTTGAAAAGGACTTGCATTTTGCACCTCACGTACCTGTCAGAAAGTGGTGAAAACACAAGAGCTGCCTCTACGTCCATCATCACCCTCCAGCCAGCCTCAACTTGGTGCTGGTTTTGAGAGAGAAAATAATATGGGAAATGATCACCACACCCAGGTAACAGTACGCAGTCTGGAAAAAAACAAAACAAAACAAAAAAACAACCAACAAAAACCTCCAAAAAAACCCAACCAGAACCTTGTCCAGAGCAGAAATAACTCTGATTAAAAAAAAAACACCACACCACCCACAAAAAGCCCCCCAAAAACCCAACCCAACAAACAACACTCAAACAAACAAAAAAAAAACCAACAAAAAAACAAACCAACAAAAAACCCCACCCCACAACAAACCAAAACGCCCCCCCCAAACCCACCAAAAATCCACATGCTCCCTTTATCAGGGGGGCATTTATAAATTAGTTGCTATGGAATAGTTTTAAACGTTACAAAGATTACAAATAACCACATAGTTTTCAAGAACCTTTATACATCATCTTTTTTAATTAGATTAGCTTTACAAGCAACTTGAGAGCTCTTTCATAATGAACACTGCTTTTCAAATTACACAACTTTATAGGCAACCTGTAAATGAATCCTGAATTTCTTCGCCTGCTATAGATAAAGGTCTCATATTTCACAGCCAGCTAACATCATGAATAAAAATAGCATTATGAAGCTTTATCTTTAACCAGGACTAGACACATACAGATCGTAAGACAGTTTTAAAAAATAGTTTTAAAACAAGGACCTGCTTGGTGATGCTCAAGACTGAATATTCAACCGACATGAAATGAACAGTTTCTAAAGGACACGGAAGAAATGGTTGACCTGATTTGTTGACCCTATTGTAATGACTTACATGGAGTGAAAAATTAAGCACTTTTTTAACCTGTCTGGCAAGCACAAACCTACAGTGTGATTAGAATGTGATACGCCGTGTAACTGCAGAAGTCTGAATTACAGAGGGACTGAAATGAGTTTAAAGGCTTATGCTTACATTTCTAAAACAAAACCAACCAAACCTCCGTTAAAAGTAGTATTAAAGAGGATGAAGTAGAAGAGTTGGCTTTTTTGCTTGTTTCACTGGTAGCCTAAATGCACTGCAGACCAGACAGTAATAAAGATTTGCACTCCTTGGCCAGGTTGGCAGAGGCACTTACAGTAAAGGTATCCTGTCTGTTTTTCTGGGAAGAAAAGAGGAAAGAGGAAGAGAACTCCAAAGGGCAAGAACTTACTTTAAAAAAAAAAAAAAAAAAAAAAAAAGAAAAGCAAGATCAAACCAAAACTGGGATTTCTGTTGGTTCTCCTAAATGACATACCAATACTGAATTTTCCCCCCCTCTGTCAGTTTGTTACTAAACAATTAGCTTTTTCATGTTTTACATGAACAATAGTAATCTTTTTAATAAAAAATTACTGAGCTTTCCATAGAAAAGGCCTCTAATTGAATACAAACTATACAGATGCTAAAATTGTCACAAGTTGTAATATATACAGAAATATTTCTGTACACTCACATTGTTTTGGCTGAGTAAGGAAATAAGGGACAGATAGAAAACTGCAGTGGGTAAGCTGATCAACCCCCAAACTCCTGTAAATATGAATGCTGTCTTTTATAGGTTTGCTTTTGTTTTCTCAAGCTTTTAAAGCTCAGGAAAAAAAGAGAAAGAAGGAAGGGGAAAAAAAAATAAAAATCTGTGTCCAACACACCCATTTCTTAAAAACAAGAATATCAAAGTTTCTGCACATCTCACTTTTATTCTGTGATGTCCCCTCTCCTTGATAAAAAGAAAACAATGTAAAAGAAAGTAAATGTTTTCTTACTAAATATATACCTCAGTATTGATCAAAGGGCAGTGCCTTTTCGGGGAAATCCTTCAGCACAGTGAAAACCTAAAGATGTATTGCACAAGGAGCCTACAGTGATGCACTTCAGCTTCAGTGTGCTGACCATCTCCTTGATACTATATAATAGATCAAGGTGTCAACTTAAAGACTGCATGGGACATCAACATTGGAAAAGGAAATTAAACAAGGTGAAGTTTAGATATTCTGTTAACTTATATACAAAGGAAAGGGGGGTGGCAAGTATTCTTTAGAAAAGGGAGAAAGCTCAAAATTTTCTGTCAAGTACGTAAGGAGGTTCTGGGTACCTCTAATAGCCTAGGAAAGCCCTTGTATATTCTTGTAACTTGATGGTATTTACCAGGTCCCCAAAGCCAATGACAGCAACCGAGAGTGTCAAGTTCACTTAGTGCCAGTCACTTTAAAAAAAACAAACCAAAACCAAACAACAACAAAAAAAAACCCTAAAAAACAAAGAAGAGACAGAAACTTCCCCTCTGTGGATTCAACATACAAAACTGAATGTTACTAATAGCGAGATACTGATTTGCTTCTGTTAATAAGGTTCAAGAGGACAATAGTCAAAAAAACAATACAGCAGCAATCTTTAAAAGTTAAGATTAGTGTGAGATATGATATAAAACAATCAGGTTTTTAGCTGGTAATTAAAGTGCTCCTTTTCTGACTTAAGGTGTAAAGAAAATTAAAGTGATTATCAGTTACTGGCAACCCTTACATTAAATTAGGTCTTTCATGGCAGAGGAGAACAGTATGAACAGTTTTACAAAAATAGATCCATGTTATTTTGGAGAATACTGTAATTTTTTTTTTCAGTTTTTCTTTTTTTTTTTTTTAAGACTCAATTTTGATAAACTGTACCTGGTCATACAAAAATTACCCAAAATTCAAACTTTTACCATATAAAAAAAGGGAGAGATGAATTGGATTCAGCTGGATGACAGGTCTGGCAAAATATAAGGATGGACAAATTCTATGTAGGGCACTTATTTATGTCCAGATGCATATGCTGTTTCTTACTGATTGCTTATCTTCTTCACATAAGCAGTCACAGGCCTGGAGTCACAATCACATAGTACAATGCTTCAGCAGTCAAAGAACCTTCTATTTGATGCAACATTGAAACACTGTTTGCTTCTTTATTAAAATGTTGGTTTGTTGTCGATTTTCCTTTATCTTGTTATTCACATTCAAAAGTTAATAGATAGCATCAAGATTTATCAGGGAGAATAGCAAGGGGAGTTGCTAAATCAAAGGCTTATAAAACGTCTTTCCCAACTGAGTCAGAAGGTTTATTAAGTTCAACCCTCACACCTTTTTCACCTGCAGAAATACGAAAAGGAAATCAGTATTATTTTTCAGCATTTATCAAAGTGCAGCCTATAGAATTGCTACATCACTTTCCAGATTAGTTTTAAGAGACTACTTTGAAGATTGTCTAGTACATATGATCTAGCAAGACAGGTATTTTTGTATACATGCTCTGTATCCTGCGCCGTGTAAAGTTAACGAGTCGTGGTTACTCATCATCCCTGAAAGCGGGCATGTATTTGGCTGCCCAAGTGGAAAACTGGATACTTCACATCATGTGTGTGGTTCTGAAGCTCATCATCTCAGCCTTTATAAAGGCAAGCTTTAAGAATGGCCAACTGACAAGCTGAAGATATTTTCCATTATTCCGTTATCAGAATATCCAGAGTTTTTGGGTATTTACCTTTCTAAAGAAACTCTGAGGAATTTTTAAAATGCAACATTCCCTTTGACTTGCTGCTAAAAAAGCCAAACCAAACCAAACCACCAACCAACCCACACCTCTTCTGTCTTTTGTTCTAAAAATTGACCTAGGTAACTTCAGATACCCGCAAATAAAATGTTGACTATCAAGACATTAACAGGCACAGTATCCCATATTCAAGAAAAATTCACACATATTATGCATGGCTTTAGTTAGACTGACACTAAGCCAAAAATGAATAGTTTCCTATTTTACGACATTTTATTCTACAATTTAATATTTTACTGTCAGTAGAAAATAAAAAGCATCTGG